TTAAAGAGAAATTGTTACTTAAGTTGAAATGTTTGTTTTAATTTATTCCAAATTGTGTATTGTTTGGTTTAAAGCAAACTAAAAATCATAATTTGAAACAAGAAACTACTCATTTACTTTAGTTCAGAATAAAAGTGTAACTTAAATAAATGCAACAGTGGTTGGACTTTTTTCAGTGATAAGACAATGACAATTTAAAATCATTTCCCAAAACAAGCAAACTCTAAAGCTGAGGCTTCGGGGGTCATTTTGTCCAACGGGTAGGAAGAGGGTTAACATTAAAGAAAAGTTAATTGTTATTGTATCTTGAGATAATAAGTTCTCAGCTGATTAAAMTATAATGTATAAATTATGTCCTTTAAACCCTAAAAATGAGACATTTATTCACCCTCCTAAACAACCTGGAGCAATGAATCATAACAGACCCTAAATTGCAATTTAAAAAATATCTTTAGTGCATTAGTTAATCAAAAATAATACATTTTAATTCTCCCTCTAACTAGAACAATTTGCTCAACACAGATACACCTTTACTCCTTTAAACTTGTTTGAAAACCAATGATTTAAGTTTTCTATAAAGTGACTATAAAAACAGTGCACCTTCGTAAATAAAACCAGGCAGAATCAGTGTTTTTATAAAGCTCAACAATATTTACCTAACCAGGATGGATGACTCTTAGCCTGTCTGAAGTCTTTGTCGTACTCCCGAAAAACCACTTTCTTATAGGTGGGACCGAACCTGAGAAATAATGGAAAACCACAAATCATTAATTCTTTTTCAGCTTGCAACAAAGACAGAATTTCTACACACATGGAATAAAAATGTATACTCTGCTTTAAATGTTATGGTTTTAAGTATCAGGACATACTGTTGTAACRTTTTAAAGTAAGAACCTGAATCAAACACTCAGCCAAGACATGGAAAAAGTAGTAACAATTGATTTGAATAAACAAYAGTATGGTGTAGAAGTGGTCCTGCAAGATCTGGTGGGACTGGTTGGTCAAGACTCAGAGATCTCCAAGTCCAAGAGTCCAGTTACTCCAAGGTTGGATGAGCTGTGAGTGAGGTTTGGAGGACTTCAGAGGCTCAACAAACAACACAAGTGTTAAAGGGAATACCTGATAAGTTGTAACATTAGACTTTATTTAATGAACATATATTTTAACTGTAAAAGACTGTAGGTTTTTTAGTTTTATCATTTTTAAACTAAAAGTTTTAAAATATATTGCACGGACAGGGCCATTTTATTTACACGCAAAGCATTCTGGGTAAATGATGACGTGGATAGGTCCTCGGTGCGAGGCTGCTAGTGAGCTATATCCACCCTGAAGGTTAATCTTGGACAATATCTGATGATCGACTCTTTTAAATGAAACCAGAGAGCGTTGACAGAGAGGAGAAGGTAGAAATGACTCAGCCTATGTGGCGGGAGCGGTGCGATAATTGGCAACTTAAATTCAAAAGCACTATTTTAGTAAAGATAAAATTGGTTATAATGACTGCACTTTAAAAGTTACCTTAAGG